ACTGCAAGTGCAAGTGTTCTTCATTGAAGATTTAAAGATTTGTTGAAAAATCCGTTCTTTTTCGGAACAATTTTTGTCTGTTAAAACGCTGTCGGCGTTGTTTCCTCTTTACACGTTTTGTTCCGTTGCTAATTTTATTATTCACATGTCTGGCAATGTTTGCCTAGAGTTACATTCTGTCGAGAGATAGAAAAATTCATATTTTGGTGGACTATTTTTGAACTTTTTTCATTTTCTTTCTTTTTATTATTTAAATATTTTTGTTGTATTGCAAGTGGTGCTTTGCCTCTGTGTTGTTTTGCAACCGCTGGGAGTAATCTAGTGTAATTCGACCGTTTCTTGCCAAATTATTTATCGCTTTTACCAAAACCAAGCTTTTTCGATCATGTTCAGGCAGATGCTCTTAAAATAATTTTTCCATAAATAGCGAAGGTCCTCAGCGATATCGCTCAAGTGTCGGCATCCATATCTGCTTGCTTTTGGATTTCTTAATAAAAACAATGAACGTAGTGTAGACTCTTAGAAACATCTTGGCGATTTTTTAATGTTTTTTTTGGAAAATATTCTAAATTTGTTCGCGCTATATTAAGCTTTTTTGCGGCTTAAGTTTATTTTTTGCTCAAGTTCAGTTCGTTTCCATTGTTAAATGGAAGACAAACTCCAGTATCGACCAGCAAAAAATAAGTGATCAACTTCTTGTTTCGAAATTGGGTTTTAATATTTAGTTTTCGTAGCGAAATTAAAAACTTACTTTTTGATCCAGTTTTCTCAATTTCGGCTAGTTTTATATAAACGAACACCAATCAAAAAATGTTTTGAAAGATGTTCTTCAAAATGATCTTATAAGAGATTTAAGGGCTTAGTTTTTTCTTTAAAATTTGAAAGTTGAATTTGTTTGAAATACAAATCAGTGTTTTTTTCTTTCCTTGCGTTCATAACATTTTTCCAAATGTCAGTTGACTATGTTTTATTATGTTTGCGAGAGCAAGTGTCGTGTAATCGGGAACTAGAATTTTATTTCTGTAAACAACTTTTTTCTAAGCAAATTTGATGCTGCTTTATGAACGAACCTTAGCATTTTACAGGCCTGTAGTCTGGAGTTCGATTCTCCGCCAGATCTTGTTTTTTTTTAGTGTCTGAAGTTGATGTTTTTTCCTAGAAAAATTGAGTAGTCTGTAGATAGTTTGTTGTCCTATCTTTTGTAGGCTTAATTGCTATATCACGGACAAATTTTTTTTGTGCTGCAAGTGGTTTTCCTTGTAGTCTCAAGTGCCGTGGTTTTTTTTCATATAGTTTTGTAATTCTACTCAACCAGACTGGTATTTTTCCTTTTTTTTTGTAGTTTATTTGCTTGGAAACTTTACTTGAAATTTTTTGTCATTATGATTTGGCTTGTTTTATTGGTTAAAAAAACCATTTTGCATCAGCTTAACGGCAAACATTGTTATGATTGTTTCAAATGAATATGGTCAGTTGAAGTTTAAAAATTAAAAAATCAATTACTTTAATCGCTCAAAATTTCTTCATGACAACAATTTCTTTTGGCTTTTTTATTTTTGTCTTAGCGGGCGTCTAACCATGTGTTACCGGCCTAATGAATGCTCGGAAAAAGAAAAAAGCTTGTGTGAAGCTAGTGGCCTAGTCTCTCGTCAGTTTTTTTTGGAAATTGAAGTTATTCGTTTATCCAAAAAAAACATTGTTTTTTCAAGTTGTTTTTTGACTTGTTTATTTTCCTCCCACCTTCTATTGGGTAGCTTGTAATGCTACACTTTCGTCGTATCTTAAGCGTTGTATCTTAAGCTATACTTTTGTTGTATTTTAAGTTGTTCTTTATTAAAAGCATGCTCAGAAACAACTCAGAAACAAAAGGCTTAGTTAGGAGAATTTTATTTTTAAAAATAACCAAAAATATGTACTCAAGAAAAATTTCTGTTACTGTTTGAGTGAGCTTAAGACACCCGCTTTCCGCAAAATATAAGTTCTATGAGATCCCTCAAAGTTTTTGTAACCTAAGGTCTCCCGCGGTGAATGAAAATATCTTAAAGCAATTATTTTCAGAACTAAAAGTAAGAAACCAAAAACGTGTCCTTTGTGTTTTATGCATAGTTGCTATTTGCACAACTTCCTTCGCTAAAACGCTTGCCATACAATATCATGAATGAAAAAAATGCAAGTCATTGAAATTTGATACAAACCTTTGGATATGAGGATTGTATGGTAAACTGCATCAGAAGTGTGTGGTTACTTTTTTTTGTCAAACTAGGCAAAAACGGTTAGAAATAGTTCCACGACCAATTATAAGTTTTTACATGAAAAAAAATAATTCTCTCTATTGCAAGTGGTCTAAGTTTCAATCAAAAAAGTTAACCCAACACTGCAATAACTTTTGACGCTAACTTTTGACGCTTCAGGTTTAATCATCGAAAGTTCAAAAAGTAACATAAAATGAGAAATACTAAAAAACAGCATTTTTCTGGAAAAATATACAGAAAACTAATTTTTTTTATGCGAGCACTAATAGGAGCCAACTCCTATGTAATCCTCATTTTGAAAAGTGCGCTATTTGACCATAATTTTCATTTATCTGATAGTTTTTCTTTAGAAAAACCAGCAAAATCCAGAATCAGAATGCATTTCATTCAATATTGTATCTATCCAACGCTTTTTTGAAAGTAGTTCAAGAAAAAAGTGATTTAGCAAAATTTTAACAGAGAGGTCTGTCGAGCATGTGATGGTGCAAAGCACTGCGTCCAATCCTTGCTGGCCCATGTTGGATTTCCTTCTATGTGATTATATGAACTGGGAAATGCTTTTACGGCTTGATGTTCTTAACAGTTTCATCAGTAACTTACTTGTTTTGTTGTTCGAACATTCGTAACAAAAGTAACCGAATATGTGTGCTCCGGGTGGTTTTTTTTTCTTCAGACAAACTTCGGCTTTTTCACTAGCAATTTTCGAAAGAATTTTTAAAAATCATTCAATGAGCTTAAATTTCAAAAGACATTTTAACCGTAATCGTTTTTTGTAACTCTATGGGGAATTGAAAGTTGCCATTTTGGCCATTTTGCTATAATTAACGCCCGATATATGTCGCGCTATTAACGCATAAGCTGAGATTTAATCTATCTTAGAAATCGTTCCAAATTGGTTGAAGGAAGCTTATTTGCCATAATTATTTCGTTACTTGTAGCGAAATCTATCACTTTGTAATTTTTATGGCGCGTGGGGGTGTAAAAAAGAGATATTAATCCGGGTGCGAATTTTATTTTGAAAACCAAAAAAGGTATACTCAAACTTAGACTAGTTTATGACTATGTAAAAGTACGCGTTCTCTACTAAAATTACTAGCAAACTTTAAAGCTAAGACTAGAAGATTAAAAGACGATAGGCTAAAAGATATCTAAGTTAGGTGAAAGGTAACACATGAAAAACTAAATGTGATGGAAAAAAATTTTAGTTTGAGATTTTTTATGAAAATCATCGCCGCACGCTCCATATAGAGTTCAACGTGATCGTGATAGATTTTGCTCTTAGTAACAAATCAATTATGGCAAATAAGCTCCTTCAACCAATTTGGAACGATTTATAAGACGGACTAAATATTCGCTTGCGCGTTAATAGCGCAAAATATATCGCAAGTTAAGTGACCCAACTTGGCCAAAATGGCAATCTTTAAGCCCCCGTGACTTTATACAAAATGATCACAAGCGAAATATCTTGTTACATTCAAGCTTAGGACAACAATACTTTTTGAAAAATATAAAAAACCGGTCAAAAATGACTAATTAAAAAGTCGAATTTTGTCTGAAGAAAAAAACCACCCCGAGCTCAAATACTTTAGAAAAAATGACTCATTTAGTTTGCCCTCAATTCAATAGAAAATTTATGAGAGCGTGATAATGTAGTGCGTATTGAAATTATTATAAGTTAAATGAGAAGGTTCTAATCCTAGTAATGCAAGTGAAATCAGAAACGCCAGCGTATCCGAAGATTCCAGGATTGACCCCGATGCTGCCAATTCGTCTGCTGCTTATCAAAAGTAGTCACCTTTTGGTACTATTTTGTGACACAAATTGTGGTTGGTTGATCCTTAAATGACTCAAAGACGCCTTAGGCGCCATTAGATTAATTAGTATCTAATGGCGCTTTTTAAGTCCTTTTAGCTTTGAGTCATGATGATAAACATGATAATACAATCCTCCCTCCCCCCCCCCCCCCCCCCCCGAGAAAAACCTAGATCCGTCTCTGATGATAGAGCTTGCGACAAAAAACTTCTCCTCGGGCCTTTTTTTATTTTATAACAACTAGCAAATCACTTCTGTTTTGATAATTTTGCCCCTTCTCCACCTCAGAGATGTGACTTACTCACCAACAAACCGCCCTGGCATTTTTTTTTGACCCAAAACCCTTCAAATTTTTCTATTAGATAATTCTTTGATATACTACTTTTGAAGTTTTTGGTCAAAAATTTTGAAAAAGTGCATATAAATGCCTTTTTTTGGCCTCGATTTTCAAAACTATGCCTGCGGTACAGAAATTTTGGTCAAAAAATGGTCTTAATAGTGTTCATAGTGTTCTGGGAGTGCTCGAAAAATAAATTTGGTCGCTTGAAAAAAATCGACAAAATTTTCAAGAGAACAAAACTCTTGAGAATCAAATTTTCAAGAGAACAAAAATCGACAAAACTCTAAACCTGCCCCTACTGGCTCTCATTGATTTCTTCACATGTACTTGTGTAAGAAAAAAATTAGAGACTGCTCGATGTTCTTAACAATTGACTTGATATTCATTGTTGATTAAATAAATTTTCGGTAAAAGTATACAAATAGAGGAAATCTTAGACCTAAAAACGGCCAATTATTTTAGTTTTAGCTATTTATTGATAATTTGCGAATTTGGGACCGGTGTTTAATGTAACTTTAAGACTTTTTTTAAAATTTGAGCGTACTTTGATTTCAATTTTAACGTTTTGAGCATGATGTCTTTCTATGTTGTTTTAGATGAGTCTGGGGACTGATCAGTGCACTTCGAACATGAGCTCCGCCATGTGCAGTTGCATCAGGAGGTACAAAAAGTGGAGTGCCTGTGCATCGTAAGTTAATCTTATTCCCTCTCACCCGCCATCATACAATACGTTGAAAAGACGGAATCAATCGGGGAACCCCCATTCCAGAAGGACTGAATGACTGAATGTTCTGTCAGCAATCTATTTTAAAATTCAAAAACTTGGAAGAAATAAGCATGGAAAGGGTAAATGAGTCAGTTTGTGACAGATTATACGACGATAATTGGCTGAGAGTTGTGGCGCAGTTTTTTGCCATGAGAATAGTCCCCGGAATCATTTTAAAGCAGTATTCTGCGAATCTGATCCAGTTGAGTTTCCGCTCATCACTCTCCTCAAACGTATCTATGTGTGGATCTCAATGAGCGAAAGACGACCACATCAAAAAAAAATGTATTGCATAACTTATTGCTTTTTCCGCCCACTTCGCGGATAGCGTTGAGCGGAAAATTTTTGCTCATATGGCTCAAAATTGTCCATGAAAATTGGGTGGGATTTGAGGAGAAGTCACGTTTTCCCGCAGATTACTGAAATTTTTTCTGAAGTATAGGTGTTTTGCGCTTTTTAAAGAAGGTGTTCTACTCTTTTTAACAAGCTCAAAGCGCATAAAATTCTGAAATAGCTTTATTGCTCCAATTATTTTTGACCCAATATGTTCGAGCCTTTTCATTTCTCTAATTTGACGCAGAAGACGATTTGTCACAGGCAGGGGCAGATCCATGATTTTCTCGGGGGGAGGGGGGGCTCGGAAATGAATATGGTCGAGATATCTAAACAAATTCAAAAAGCTTGACAAAAAGTTTAATTTTGAACATTTTTTGAAAATACTCCCCTTCGAGAAAATCCTAGATCCGCCCAGGACGTATATGTCGAAGTTGCTACGTCCAGTTTATTATTACGTCCATTTGCATCCAACCATAAATCGCACCAGTAGCGAATTTAAAGAAACAGACGCCCCCCCCCCCCTCCCCATGGATTCGACCCCCTGCCGACCCAAAGGGTCCCCCTTTGTACTATCCACTTTTGGATGACTGACCTTAAAATTTTTGCAAATTAGGGACTTTATAATGGTTGAGGATATGGGGAGAGCTCAGAAACTCAATTTGGTTGACCTAAAAAAAGGTCGACAAAATTTTAAACATTTTTTTGAAAATCCGCCCCCCCCCTCCTCGAGAAATTCCTAGATCCGCGCCTGAATCGCACCATCATTCGTTTTTACTCCGTCCGCTCTTGTTTGCTAGGTTTTGTTAGCAAAGATGCCTTTTCATACCATGTGTTTTAGTGGGTGAAAAGCATGCTGATTTCGTCTGAAAGTACGGTAAACAAAAAAGAGCCAAAAATGTTGAGATAAAAGTGAGCTTGTAAACATGAGATGAAAAATTTGTGAAAAAATCGGGCCAGTTTTGGGTTTAGGGAATGTAATTATTGGTGAATACATTTTCGATAAATTTCTTTTAATTTGGCAGGTTGTACAAAAGAAGTGGTGGAATTAGGCGGCAACTGGACATTGGATCTGGGAATTATTTTCCGATACCGAAGGTTCTTAGCTACAGTGGTTCTGACAGAATACGAATCTGAAGTCGCTAAAACCCAATATCGTCACCCTATCATCCTAATACACAAGACAATGCTCAGCACTAACTCCAGCAGCGGAAACTTCAAACTGATATGCGTCATGTTTCGGGTGCTGTATATCATTATTTAGCAAATTATGGTTTAAGTAAAAACTGTGAATTAAAATCGCAACAGTCGTTTTCAACGAAAGTGCTTATGGCAACAATCAATATTAAGCATTATGAAATTTTTTATTGTTACAGGAGACATAACGGTTTTGAAAATGTTGATAATTTAAAAAAGTTAATGTTTGTTTTATTTTTCAATGACACAATAGTTTTGAAGGCTTCACAAAAATTTTTGCCTGGTCACGACTACAATTCAAATTGGGATTAGTAATGGGCAGTTAATTTCTTACATGCATTTCTTCAGGGAATAATTTACAACAAAACTCTAGTTTCCGATATCAATGCAAAATTTTGAAGTTTTGCTCATGCGTTAATATAAACAGCTGACTCGGAGGTCAAAAATGTTGCCATTATAATTATTTGGGACTACAGTTTGTGATCTCGCAGTCCAATATAATCCATTTTTTTCTTAGAAAAAACAAATCAACTATAACCCATTAAAATCCATTACAATGAGTTTTATTGGATTAAAATTTGTAGATTATAACTAGTAAAACAAGCTTAACCAGGGGGGATTGAGGAGGGGCATGTATAGTAGCGAGGAGCACAATTTTGAAAAAAAATTAAAAATTCTCTTTGAACAAAAAATAGCTCCAAAGTATTAGTATAATTAAATAAAGTTTTTTGCTATATCTGAACTATTAAATTCTTTGCATTGCGTCAACTTTAATTTTTTACCTGTGATTATTGGTTAGTTCGAGAAAAAATAAAGGTGGTAAACTTTACCCAGCAATGTGCCTAAAATATCTAAAAGCTTAACAGTCTGAGTGGTTCATATAAACAACCTTGGCCAAAATCAGACAAGTGAAAAGTTCGGATCTAAAAAAGCGAGAAAGTACAAAAAAAACATGCCTTTCAAATTGCATAGCTTGAAAAATTAAGACCGATACAAAAAGCTTTTCAATTCAGTCTAGGAACTTTTACAATTCCAATAAACTGAATAAAACTAAGCTTATCAAGAGCTTTCAGGATTCCGAAAAATTCCCGATAGTTCATCAACATTTTTTTGTTTGGTGGTCAATTGATTTCCCATCCTCGTCGTCGGCCGAGCTGTAAGAGGAAACTCGCCAGCACCAGATTCAGTGTTGTTGGTCAATCCGGTGTTTCTTGCCAGATCGAGTCCCCTCAAGCCTCCATCAGTACTCCATGACAGCCATCTTTTCGATTATTGGATCGCAATTCCGTCGGACGTGTAGCCCACCATCAACAGCGTCTCCATCGCCTACTCTCTGCCCTTTCCTTGAGAATCTAGTTGAAAGATGGCACTCAAGATCACGAACATTCGTTCGTCCACTTGAGCACTCAAGATCACGAACATTCGTTCGTCCACTTGAGAGTAATCCAGATCCCTTAACCGCCTGTAAAACTCATGAAGCGTTGGCTTCTTCAGTACCGCTGGCACTAACTTCCAAAAAACGCGATCAGCTGTGATCAGAAATGAAATATAACTCAAGAAACTTCAATCCTAGATTACCACTCAAGTAAGCCAAGCAAAGTTCATCACTCAAGAATGTTCACTCTAGATGCTCACAACTATAAGGATCTTCGGGTGCCTTTGGACTCTCTTGCAATTCAGTTCTGACAGTTCCCCAATGCTGCTCTTTTCTGATAACTTCAAAACTTCAATCTGAAAACAGAACTATGTTTTAGGCTTGTCAACTTCCTCCTACTAGAACAATTCCCAGGTGGAAAGATAAAAAGGCTTTTTAAGGCTTGATTAAAAGATCTGCTGTCATTAAGTAGTCAAATGCTTGCTCCAATGAGCGAAGCATCAAATTTATGTGCCTTACTTTAGACGTTACTTTCCGCTTTGAGATCATGCAATTGGTGTGTTTTAGCACGGCATAAATTGGTTCAATATTTGAATTAAACATCTAAAAAAAAAATGTAAAAACGATTCTTACTTTACGTTTTTACCCCTCCTTGTATCATATCATGATCACTTGTAACTCTAGACACCCTTTACCACTCAAGACTCCAGCTACAACTCTAGACTCAGGCAAGGCTCAAGTATTCCTTATTTTGTAGATGCACCACGATCTCTGTTTCAGTGAAGATAACAAGCAAGATGACAATTACTTCCTTGAGGTTTAACCTGCCTCTATTTGGTTTGTAAACTGGTGTTCAGACCTCCTTCACTTCCCTCTCGCTTAAAGGTCTCTTAGTCGTGTTTAGTCTACTACCACGTTTTCACGTTTTCAGGATTCACCACATACTTTTCGCTGACTCTTGTAACCAAAAATTACAAGTATTTGCCAGTCACCTGCGATACTGATAGTGGAAACGCCGCCAAGCTACCCAATCCCGGTCTGTGTCTGAACAGAAAATCCACATTCTGATAATCTCATTTTAAGTCCGCTTCCAACCTGGTCTTAAAGCTCATGTCCGCGGTTGTGCAGGTTGCACTGGTCCTGTCCGACAAGATAAAATTGCTGTCTGTGATTAAAACATTTTCCGAGTTTTCGTTTGGTATTTCCAATTTAGTTTGGAAATTTTGCCAATAGCAGGCTCGGTGTCTTCTTGTTCTTCATCCAGACCATTGATTTTGCTTACTTTCCTAAATTTCCGGATCAATAATTTTTCGGTGTGGGTAATTCCTACGCCCACTCCCCGGACAAAAATATTTATCGACATCCTCGTCGATGGTGCTGACTCTAGATTGCTCGAGGGTATCTTCAGGGGTCGCTCTGTTGCTACCCAGCCGAACGTGAGACCTTTTCCTGATTGTGTTTTACTGCAGATAAATCGACTTGTTGTTTGGTTTGTTACTCTGACTCACAAGCCGGTAGGTTGTGCATCCTCAAGTTCGTATGTTCCCTCTTTTCTGTCTCGCATTGCTCAGATCCATTCACAACTCCGGCACAATGTGATCCTCCTGTCAGAACAATTCATCGTCCTTGATGATTTGCCCCTCTTGGTCTGGTACTAGTTCATCAATGCTGACCATTTCTTCCCCGATTTCATCCGGCTTTATCTTGTCAACCAAGCAGTCATCCCCATATCTGATATAAACCATGCTGGTCTTCTACTGTCCTCCACTTCTTGTTTCTATCGTCATAGGTTTGTCTGGTCGTACTGACTTTTGTATCTCGTCCTGTCGTCCTGTTCAGCTTCATTCCAATCCTCTACTACGAAGGAACCCTCGTCCGAGTACACCAAGATATTCGTGTTGTCACTCGAGCTCAATACCATCAATTTTGCCCTGGTTCCTTTTTTGTTCACCTCGCAGGCCGGTTCCACTATCAGTAACTCCAGGTTTTCTATGTTCTTTGGAACGGACCAATCATCTGGTAATGGAAAGTGTGATTTCAGGTTTTCATATTGTGCTGTTCGTCATATGTTCAAGCGATAGAATTTGCCCTGCTGGTGAAGTTTAGTGATTCTGAAGGTCCCTCTCCCATTCTTCAGTGACTTTTTGATTCCCTTTGATAGAATGACCTTTTGAAACACCTGCTCGTCGTAATTCATGCCTTGTCGCATTTGTGCTTGGGTTGTATTGCGTCTGCATGAGTCATTCAACTCCTGTTGTCTCTGGATTGATTCTCTCGGGTAAGCCTGGGGTAAACTTTTCTGTCCTTCTTACTCTGGATAAAAGAATGACGAAGGCATCGCCCTTTTTCTGCCTGCTAGAATCAAGAAAGACTGATTACCGTTGTTGTGTTTTGCGTGTTATTGTACGAGCCCACCTTTGTGGCAAGTGTTTGCCGAATCATTCGTGTATCCTGAACACTATACCCACCGCATGCTTATAAGTGTTCGGGTTTGCCTCTCTGCCAATTCATTTGTTTCCGGATGGTAGGTCGCCGCTTGAGCTTTTGCAATGTGCAACTTCTTCATCGGTTCTTTTGTCAGGTGCCCCGCGAAGCTTTTCCCGTTGCCTGACTGAAAACTCATAGTACAAGCATAACTAGAGATCCAATTTTCTGAATCTGACCTTCATCCAAGCTTTCATTTCTGATCCCTGGCCAGTCGAATCGATTAAGTATTCATTGTTGCACTTTGGCTATACTCTGATGCCCCATTTGATCGTGTGATCTAAGCAGTACCTCGTTTGATTCAATTGAGGCAGTATGATAACGTTGTGCTTTTGCAGGATCTTCTCATCATCGATCCTTTTCAGGCTACTACACCATTCGCCGTGTGGTAAAGTAACTCTTTCCGCTCTTTGTAAACCTGGCTCAAGATTTTGTTGCTGTTCTCTTCTAGATCTCCATTTTCTTCTTCCGCTATTTTTATCCTTTCAGAGAGTTTATTCTTTTAGCTAGTCATTTTTCGTTTTTCTGAGCCCTAACGGGGTCTGAGAGTCTGTATCTTGCCTTCAAGTGTTCCTTTAGAAAGATCATCTGTCCTGCCAATTCCCTTGGGAGGTGAACGTCGTCCTCTAGCTTCACATATTATCTTGCTCAAAACTCTACCGTTGGTTTCTGGCTCTAGATTTGTCCTTTGAATAGGGTTGCACGATAATCGTCTAAGGGGGTTTCTCGAAACCGCCACATCTCCAGATCTTCTCCTCCACTGTCCTCATCCGAGTCTCCGTTGTATGTTCCAAAAGAAGAATCCGCTTGCATCTCCCTGTCTTAGTTTCAATTTAGTTTTCGCCAGAATCGTGCACAGGCTGTCTGAATATTCATTGATCTCAGCATATTCTCCATCTGAGTCAGTGTCTTCTTTGAACGATACTATCTTCTTTGTCAATGTAGTTTGCGTTAGATTTTCTTCTGAATTGATCTCAACTATTGAGCGCACTACCTTTTGGTTCTCAAGTTACTGGTCTGCTGCTTGTCTTTTTCCTTGGGATGATCTTTTGGTCTCTTCATTTTTGTGACTTCAGATTGGCCTTCACAGTCAACTCCTTGCAGTTGTTGATTGCTAGTTTCTTAAACAGTCTCAACAATTCTTGCTTGCTTCACCACAACCGTACTTTCTCGACTTTCTCTTGGTCATATTCTTTTGGCTTTAACGTCTCCCTAACAAGTCTGAAGCTGAGCAGAAGCTCCATTGGCTCCTCT